TTGGCATCGCATCAGATACTACAACTCACCCCCGGAAAAAGACCCCCTATGATTGAAACCCCTCCGGTGACTCCTTCCGGTGTTAATATCCTTTCCCCGGCAAAAGTGATAATGGACCCTAGACATGGGATTACTTTGGAAGTATTAACAGGATATGGATGAAACTTGGTAGGTAGGACCCCCATGGGATTCTAAACTTGAATATGGAAGTTTGACCCCGGTTGACCCCTAAGTTGCGTAATCCTTTGATCGGCCGATTTAGTCTGACTACCAACATAACCCTTTCGGGATTGTGGATCATATCGTGTCTTAGTGTCCCCCGCTATTACACGGTATAAAGGGGAGAAACTCTGCGGCAGTTGAGTAGAGTGAAAGCGTGCTTAGATGAGACGACTCACCGGAAAAGAATCTACATTGGCGCTCCTGGGTGGGCTTTCTTTATCGAGCGAATAACGATCTTTGGATTCGGCAACAACGAGTGTTGGACGAATAGACCGAACAACGAAGAAGAAAATGGATCGAGACAATCAAGGTGCGAGCGAAGTGTTATTCAAAGCGAGAGTTAACGATGTATTTCTGCTGGGAAGCAAACTAGTGAGTGTGGGTTTTTCGAATTGGATCAACTACGTCGATTTTAGAATGATGCATCCGAGGAAGCAACTCAAGAACTACTACGGTCCAAGGCATGATGGTGCTGTCATTCATGGCTGGACGTTCAAGAAGTTGGAGATAGGATCAATAACCGAGAAAATAGCAGTTATCGTTGTCGAGAACTTGTTTGTACCTATGGAATATTTGTGCGGAATAATTGTGCTCGGGGTGGGCTTTTTTTCAGACAAATTTCGACTTTTTAACTAGCCATTTTTAATGGAAATTTTTTAAATCATTCAAAAGGTATTGTTGTCCCGAGCTTAAATTTGAAAAGATATTTCACCTGTGATCTTTTTTCGTAAAGTTATGAGGGTTTAAAGATTGGCAGTTTGGGACAATTAACGCGCGATATATTTCGCGCTTTTAACGCGTTAGCGGAGATTTAATCCGTCTTAGAAATCGTTCCAAAACGGTTGAAAGAAGCTTATTTGCCATAACTGAATTGATAAAATGAGCGAAATTTATTCTTTTGTGTTTTATATGGCGTGTGGGGGAATGGTTTCATATAAAAAAGATTTCAAATTTAAAAAAAAAAAATTCATTTTATTTTATTACATTTAATTTTTTTTGTTACTACTGCTCCATAAACTTTAAAAGGCAGTCGGAACATTCAGGGCTTCGCCCTGATACGAGCAGTCTTGTTTAATTATATTTACACTTTTAGTCTTTGAAATTCTAGAATTTGTCAGTGACCAAATTCGAAATTGGCGAAAAGTTTTTTCGGTAGAACATTTTTGACTATTTACTACAGAAGCGTTTGCCGATGAATCTCAAAAATATTACTGGGCTTCAATTTTGATCAAGATAGAAAAACTAATTCAGTTGATATCTTTTTCAGGTAATTGGTATTTTATCTTTCACCTCCATTTGACTTTCTCCAACTCCTGCTCTTATTTTCTAACTGAAACACAGTTTTTTCATATCTTAGTTTAAGGTCATCTTCAACCTAATCTTTGGTTTTGATTTTTTGGGCTTTTAGGCATTTAGCTGTGATCATTGCACTAAATAAGATGTCATTGCATACATTTTCTCAGATAAAAATTTACAGTTTTAAGTTCATATTCGTTTTTGTTGAAATTTCATTTGCATTATCGCAGTCGGCTTATTAATAACAGATTTGCGGCGTTCGCCATACAAATTGGAAAATTTGCCAACAAATAAGAAACAGTTTATGAGGATGACGTAAAATTTTTTCAAAACCACAGATTTTCTCTTAGGTTTTTGACCATTCGTAAGTGTCACCAGTTTTTTTTTTGAAAAAAAAAAAACACTCAAAACGCGTAAAATACGGTCAATTCTGAGTATCAAAAATTTTCTCATCTAAATTCTTAAGTCTATAATATTTCAAATAGGCTAAAAAAACTCATGTAAGCCAACTGTATAACAATCTAAGAAAAAAAAACCTGATTATTATTTATAGTATTTTCCTCACTCTAGCTCTGTATATTTTTTTGAAATTTGACGCTCTGTGAAACATTATTTAAAAGTGTATTTGTCACGATATTTTGTATCTCAAAGAACAGTGCTAGTAACACAGCACAAAATTCCAAAATCCATTTTTGAACTCCCCAGAAAGTCTTTTGGCATTTATTGAGACTAATTTCAGTTTATTTCAATAGGATTTAGGAATTTCGGTATTTTTGAGTTTTTTCATGAAAAACTAATAAAAGTCAACAAATCAAAGTCAAAATAATCAAAAACAACAAATGAACCCAATCTTTCCATGAGGGCCGTTGGGTTGCTAAGCTTGCAATTTCTGACCCCAGTTTGACTAAATTTTTTGTTTAAATCCAATACCTTTTCAAAAACTTTGACTTTTTTTAAGATGAAGTGCAATTGAAAATTTGTTTGTTGTTTGTTCTCTCTTTCGAATAAAATGACGGAATATGTTTTCTGGGTGTGAATTTTTTGTCGTCAATAACCAAGCTAAAACTAAAGTTCATATTCAACTATTGCAACTGCATGGGTTTTCAAAGTTGCCAAATTAGCCAAATTGATATATTAATGCGAGCTGTATTCCGTCCGGTTAAATTTTTACGCGTGAAATAAATCAACTCAAACTGAACTGAGGCAAGAAAGTTGCTCTTATTTGTGCCTTACCTGACGCATATTAGTTCTGTTCCGACTTTCGAAGAAAATGAGGAATATATATGCTCGGGATGGTTTCTTGCCTAGACAAATTTTACAAAACTATGGTCCTTCGAGGAATAGATCTCGTGATCTGTATGGGCCTCGCCGGTTGTGCACATCACTATAGTAACTCATCCGGATTTTGTCTAAGCAGATCGTTTTAAAATTTACACGCGTGGCGAATTATTCCGCACTGCAAAAACATTCCAAAATGAATTGAAGCAACTAATAGGTTTTGAAAATTCCCTACATGACTCAAATTGTAACATCTGAAATCTTAGACGCTTGCCAATACTTAGTTAACTAAAAAATATTCGAGACCATTTAAAATGCAGTTGAAACATTCAGGATTTTTCAGTGATACGAGCAGTCTTGTATACATAAACCATTGTGTGGTGGACAAAATGAAAAACAAGACTGCTTAAATCAAGGTGCAGCCTTCAATGATCCGACTGCAAGTTGACTATTTGTTTTTGCTGCAGTTTTGATGGAATAAAACCCCAAAGTCTTTTTTACAAACTTTCTGCTCTGTAGAAAACTGCTAAATGCGGCGCGCTTTTATGATTCAAAATTTGTCCAAGTGGTTTCAAATTCAAACCATTTTTACTTTGCGAAAAGCGATCACAAGTGAAATGTTTTTGTTCCGACTTTCGATACGAAAGTAACGGAATAATTGTGCTCGGGGTGGGGTTTTTTTTCTTCAGACAATTTTCGAATTTTTAACAAGCCATTTTTGACGGTTTTTTATATCATTCGGAAGCTATTGTTGTCCTGAGCTTAATATTGAAAAGATATTTCAGCTGCAATCATTTTTCGTAAAGTTACGGGGGTTTAAAGATTGCCATTTTTGCCAGTTTGGCCAATTTGGGACAATTAACGCGCGATATATTTCGCTCTATTAATGCGTAAGCGGAGATTTAATCCGTCATAGATATCGTTCCATATTGGTTGAAAGAAGCTGATTTGCCATAATTGATTTGTTACAAGGAGCGAAATCTATCCTTTTGTACTTGATATGGCGTGTGGGGGAATGATTTTCAAAAACTTTTCAAATTTTAGAAAAAAAATTTCATTTTAATAAATTTATTTTTTAAATGTTATTACTGCTCTATAAACCTTAAAAGGCAGTCGGAACATTCAGGGCTTCGCCCTGATACGAGCAGTCTTATGTGATTTTGTGCCCGAACTCTATATTCGACTGTTTATAAATTCTGCTAAAACAGTTAGTTTATAAGTCAAAGTTTGTCCGGACAAAAAACCATCATGAGCTCAAAGATTCTGTCATTTTCTTTGAGGAAAAAAACGAAAAAAAAAAATGATACTTTATCTAATTTTTTATCAATGTTTGTTGCATCCAAAGACAATATCCTGAGCTTGAAAGAGCATTCGGAATATTCACGGCTGCTTCACCCTGATACCAGCAGTCGTGATTTGACTTCTTTTGATAGACGATCAATAATTTGGATAGATTTTTGCAGGTACATGCAGCTTTTAGTGCGTTTTTGTTGAAGTTTCACTCTCATTCACATTAAATTGAGAGATAATTATGAAGCTGACATGATTATCGAAGCAGCTTTACGAGTTAATGTTTCATACTTTCTGAGAACCAAAAACCCTTTTTGCGGCAAATTTTTCTGATTGAAAGCCTTTTCCGTGCACTTATCATTCATCAAAAAAATATTCGAACCGGATTAGATTTATTTTTAGTCAACAGCACGTAATTGTTTGTCAATCAACATAAATTTGGCGGAACACAAATTAGCTGTCAAAAATTTCCTGTAGGTTAGAAGAGAAGTACGTCATACTGATCACAGTCATGCTCCCACTTTGTAGTCCCACAATTACTTTGCTATTAAGGTTCTATCTAGACGGATTACGCAATCTATGGCGTTATCCTTTAATCTTTAATCTAAGAGATTTTGTGCATCGGGGGTTTTGTTAAGGTCAAAACGAAACATGGCCAAGCTTTGCAGTCTGATTTTTGGGAAAAGCGTTTAAATCCGAAATCTCAAAATTCATGAGGAAACATTTTACACTTACCTAAATTACTAAGCTAATCGATATCCAAATTTCCATTTTTGATACTTAAAAAAATTGTCAATTAAAATGGGCCCTTCCGTCATGCGACGGTCAGTGCACAGGTTTGTACTTTTTGATATTTCCGTTTCTTCTTCTTTTAAAAAAATGTTGAAAAAAAATTGTTTTTCATTTCGTTTCAGATTGAGCAGCCATCAGAGCAAGAGCATGAAAAACGAAGACCTCATTTCCTCTTTGGTTTCTGACATCGGAGACATGTAAGAATTCATATTTATTTACCTTTTTCCCATTGTTTTAAACACCTCTACTGCCATTTAACTTAAAAAACGAAGGGGAATCACAGCCACCGGATTTGAACTAGCGCCTGTTGTCTATCATCCAACGATTTTATGGCTTCCTCTTTTTCTCGCACTCGTTATATCAATTAAAACTAGCACGCTTCCTGGTCGATCACGCCTCTCATCCTATTAATATTTCCCCGGACGGAGAATTTCGCTCAAAGCTGAAATCTGCTATATTGAAGAGGCTTACTTTTATATTGTGAGGCTAACGAGAGTGTCATATTAAGTAGTCATCTATTAACCGGTTTATTAATAATGTCAAACCTGCACATATGATTGAAAATACAATGGGTTTTCCTTCAACAGTAAGAAAAAAAGTACAAGAGTGCTCTTATCAGAGCGTAGCTTTGTTTGAACCGATTGCCGTTAAAACGTTGAAAAAACACTTTTTGTAATAAAAACTGATGAAATATACGAAAAAAAAATTATCATTTTATCTTTATTTTACCCCCACAAACACACACACGCATACACTAGCTATGTAAAGTACAAAATTATATAGTTTTAGTCTGCCTGCAAGGAGATCCAAACAGTTCAGAACAAGACTGCTTGTATCAGGGTGAAACCTTGAAAAATCTGACTGCTCTTAAGGTCTATGGAGCAGTAATAACATGAAAAAAATTTAAATGTTACAAAAAATTAAATTAAAAAAAAAACTGGGATTGTTTGTGAAAATTTTAGGTTTTTCGTAAAAAACATCCCCGCACGTCATATTAAGTACACCAAGACTGCTCGTATCAAGGCGAATCGCTGAATGTTTCGACTGCCTTTTAAGGTTTATCGAGTAGTAATAACATAAACAACAGAAAAAAAGTTAAATAAAAAAAAATAAAACGAAAAAATTAATTTCTAAAATCTGAAATTTTTTCCAAGAAAATCATCCCCCTGCTTTTTCCGGCTGCCTTTCAAAGTCTATGGAGCAGTAATATCATGAAAGATTGAAAGTAAAAAAATATATATATAAATTTTATTTTGACCTTTTTGCGGAAATCAGCCCCCACGCACCATATAAAATACAAAATGATAGATTTCGCTCCTAGTAACAAAGAAGACTGCTCGTATATAAGGGCAAAAAGTTGCACAGCTCGTATATCTTGTACAGTTATTTATGAGCAAGCCCGGATTTTAGTCAATTAAAAACCATTTTATTTAACTAAATAATTCCTTAAAAACCATCAAATTAGCACTTGAGTGTTTTTCAAATTTTCTACAGTAACCGCACAAAAAAAATTATTCCAGCTAACTTTTTGTTTAAAAATGTACCGAGTCTGAAAGAGTATTTCATTTGTGGTAACATTTACAGGGAAAAATAATCTAAAAGGCATCTAATCAACTCCTCGCCATGTGATCACGGGCCTTCGCGAAGATGTCATTTTTGGCGTAAAAATATTTAAATATTGACGGTTTCTGGAGAATATCAACATATTTACTCAAAACAAAGCGCATCTCTCTGATTAGTTTATTTCCTCCTTTTTCTTAGAAATAATTAGGTAACTAAAAAAATAGTTGCTCAACTAAAATCCGGGGTCTGTTTATGAGCCAGGAAGTTTTCAAAAAAAGACAGTCACTTACTTCTAAATTGGTGTTTGCAGGTTTCAAATTGATAAAATTTGTTTTGCTGTGTTGGTCTGAAGCATCCTGTGTTAAAGTGCTAAAAAGACTGCTCGTATATCAGAGCGAAGCCCTGAATGTTCCGACTGTCCCCTAATTCACATTGAATACTTTTTGGGAGAATAAAATTTGAAAACTTATACAATTTAGTCAATATCAAAGTGTGAAGTTTATTGAATGTTAAATGTTACAAAAAATTAAATTTAAAAAAACTGAGGTTGTTGGCGGTTTTAAGTTGTACGAATTGAAACGATCAATTAGCTAGCCTCAATTCAATATAGTACAATTTTGTTGTGCGGGATAAACCGCCAAGCATAAATATTTCGCGTTACGCTTTCAGAAATTTGAATAAATTCTTCAAAGCGCGCAATATTTAGTCCACAACATGGCGAAGGTGGCAATTTTGATACCCCAGAATTTTTCAAAAACCCTCAGAGATAAAATAACCTTTTAACCTTTTAAATGACTCAAAAGTCGATATCTTCAATGAGGTATCAAAAACTTTGTTGAAAACTATTATTTCGATCGGCCAAAATAGACTGAGTAAAAACCGATTACGAGCATAAACATTACGTATTCCTCGAAGGTCGGAACAACAAGAAAACAAACGAAGCAGAAATTTTCCAATAAGATAAAATTAAGTTTTCCGTGACTACTTTTTGATTTTACTGAGTTTTTGATAAGATTTCGTCTCCTAAAAAAATTGTATCCTTTCACAAGACGTCAAAAGATTTGTGCTTCTAATCATTCGAGGCTTGGAATTGAAAGAATCAGAGTGAGTACCATAGGCAGAATACTGAGTACAAAAACTGAATTGTAATTAAATATGGTTAATTTGTTGAAATTTTTCAAATGTATTGGGAATTGTGACTCAAATATACATATTAAAACCTATACTATATTTAAATGCTTTTGACACCTATCCTGCCATGCTTAAGCGTTCTTTTTGCAACAGCTAAGGGCATAACGTATCTATGCGTCGTTAATCTATATCGTCTATAGCAATGCTTAAGAGCTTTTTTTCGATTTTCCAGATTAAATCCACTGAGTTAAAAGTTAGCAACACAAAATTGAAATGCTGTCAAAATTCCCCCAAAGTTCCTGTCAAAGTACTCTCAAATATTGCGAATCTTGCCTCTAAATATGACTGCTCACAAATTTTTTGACATGTTTTTTTTTAATTTTCAGAAAAATTAGATTATAAAAAAGTTTTAAGGAAATTTTAATCCCCAATAACTTTTAAAAAACGGTCACAGATGAAATATCTTTTCAAATTTAAGGTGAGGACAACAATAGTTTTTGAATGATATGAAAAAATTCTGTCAAAAATGGCTAGATAAAAAATCGAAATTTGTCGGAAGAAAAAAAACTATCCCGAGCACAAATATTCTGTTGCTTTCGTTACAAAATCGGAAAAAAAAGATACATCAAAAAAGAGAAGAAAAAACATGAGAAGCTTAGTTTAAAATGATCACTCCGCACGCCATATTAAGTCCAGTGATAGTTTTTGGTAGTAATGTAGCAATTATGACAAATAGTCTAATTCAACTACTTCAATCAAACAGGAACACTCTCTAAAACTAATTACTTTTCCGCTCACGCGTTGATAGCGGGAAATTTGTTGCGAGTGCGTGGTCCTAAATTGACCGTATTGGCAATATGTAAATCCCCATAAATTTTCAAACGAGATTGCTCCATAGTAGGGCGAGGCCCTGATTGTTCCGACTGCCTTTTAACTTTTAAGGTTTATGGAGCAGTAGTAACGTAAGAAAAAACAAAAAATTTGTTTTCTAAAATCTGAAATTTTTTAAATAAAATCATCCCCCCACACGCCATATAAAATACAAAACATTAGATTTCGTTCCTTGTAACAATTCAGTTATGGCAAATAAGCTTCTTTCAGCCAAATTGGACGATTTCTAAAACGGCTTAAATATCCGTTTTTGCGTTAATAGCGCGAAATATATCGCGCGTTAATTGTCCCAAATTGGCCAAAAATGCACACTTCAATCCGCCATAATTTAACAAAAAATGACCACAGTTGAAATAATTTGCAAATTCAAGCTCAAGACAACAATACCTTTTGAATGATATAAAAAATTCCGTCAAAATTGGCTAATTAAAATCGCGAAATTTGTCTGAAGAAAAAAAACCACTCCTAGCACGAATTTTCCGTAACTTTCGTTACGAAGTCGGAATCAAAACAATCATTGGTGAATTAGTTTTAAAATTTGAGCTCAGGACTAAAATAAATTATGAGCGATACAAATGTTTCGTCAAAACTGGCTTGTAAAATGGCGGAGTTTGCCAGGAGAAAAAAAATCACCCAGAGAAACCGAGACTGATCTTTATTTCAGGGTAAATCAGGGAAGGTTTTATTTGCACCTTAAGTTCAATTGAATTGTTTTTTCATTTAAAAATTGACAAAATTTTTGAAAAAAAACTACAAAGGAATGCATTTAACGTCGTTCCTAATAATAAGAGTAATTGACTTGCCTCAAATCAAATTGGAACGCAAAAGAGTGCCGTTTATGCATGTTATACGAAAGAAACATTTAGCTGGTTACCCAAGATTGACCAAAGTAGCCATGTCCATACCGACATAATGTTATGAAAAATATCATAGCTAGATTAATTTTACTTGAGCTCCAGATAACAATATCTCTTTAGATGGTATGAAAGCTTTCCACCACAAACGTTTTTTTAAAACTCAAACAATGACTGAATAAAAAAAAGTTAATTGTCCCAAATTGGCCAAAAATGCACACTTCAATCCGCCATAATTTAACAAAAAATGACCACAGTTGAAATAATTTGCAAATTCAAGCTCAAGACAACAATACCTTTTGAATGATATAAAAAATTCCGTCAAAATTGGCTAATTAAAATCGCGAAATTTGTCTGAAGAAAAAAAACCACTCCTAGCACGAATTTTCCGTAACTTTCGTTACGAAGTCGGAATCAAAACAATCATTGGTGAATTAGTTTTAAAATTTGAGCTCAGGACTAAAATAAATTATGAGCGATACAAATGTTTCGTCAAAACTGGCTTGTAAAATGGCGGAGTTTGCCAGGAGAAAAAAAATCACCCAGAGAAACCGAGACTGATCTTTATTTCAGGGTAAATCAGGGAAGGTTTTATTTGCACCTTAAGTTCAATTGAATTGTTTTTTCATTTAAAAATTGACAAAATTTTTGAAAAAAAACTACAAAGGAATGCATTTAACGTCGTTCCTAATAATAGGACAAAGTTGTTGCCTCAAATTAATTTGGAACGCTTTAACCCGCGTTTATTTCGCGCGTGTTTTAAAAACGCAATACATTGCGAATTAAGTGTACCAAGTTGACCAGCATATTAAGTTGCAAACCCCCAACTAATTGCAGGTGAATTTTTTTACGTTTGAACTCTGGAGAAGATTATCTTTCAAGTTTACACAAATCGAAGTTTATTGAAATTTATTTAAACAAATCGAAAAATAACTGAATCAAAAAACCGATCCAAACGTAAATATGTTGTTTTCTGCGAATGATTAATCAACGTCAAAAACTGTTTTGAAAATTCGGAGATGAATTAGCGGGGATTAGAAGGCCTCGGTAGGAGGAAATTTTTTTGCGAAAAAGCAGAAACATGAGTAGGTTTAGAAATCAAGTAGGTACTTGCAGAAAATATTGCAAACATTACAATTAGTATGAAAAAAAAGAATACAGATTATAATGCATTATAAATCATGATAAAGATTTTCAAACGAATTACTCTCTACTTAAATTTTCGAAGAAATTCGATTATGATGTATTTAAAATTCATTTCAAAAAGTGTAATTATAATCCTTAAATTCGATTTTTACCACAAAAATCTATTAGCAATGACAAGACTCATTAGCAAGACTAGGAGTATATCAAGGCGAAGCCCTGATTATACCGACTACACCTTTAGACCAGAAAAATACAATGGTTCAAAAATTGAAGTTTTCTTAATTATTTTATCCCCGCACACGCTAATGTACACTACGAAGATTGTATAAAGCGTCTCGTGTTTTAGTAATAAGAGTAATTGACTTGCCTCAAATCAAATTGGAACGCAAAAGAGTGCCGTTTATGCATGTTATACGAAAGAAACATTTAGCTGGTTACCCAAGATTGACCAAAGTAGCCATGTCCATACCGACATAATGTTATGAAAAATATCATAGCTAGATTAATTTTACTTGAGCTCCAGATAACAATATCTCTTTAGATGGTATGAAAGCTTTCCACCACAAACGTTTTTTTAAAACTCAAACAATGACTGAATAAAAATTAACCATCCCGGCAATAAATGTTCCGCTTTGTCCTCAAAATCTAAACTATTTAGTTTGCCGCTTTTAATAGCACGAATTATATTGCTCGTTAATTATCCCAAAATCGCCTAATTGGCTATTTTCAATCCCCAACAACTTCACAAAAACGATCACAGGTTGTAGCTCAAAAATGTTTAATACTAAGCTAATAATATCAGAGGGTTTCAGATGTAAACTACAAAGAGTTGCAGTAAGCTTCTCGTGTTTTAGTAATCAGAGCAAATGACTTGCTTCAAATCAATTTGGAACGCGATATTTTGCCGCTTATGCGTGTTATTTGAAAAAAAAATATTTCGCTGGGTCAAAACTGTCCAAATTAAATCAAACCAATATGATGAAGGGAAAAACATCATAGCTGAATTAATTTTATTTGAGCTCCAGACAAAAATGTCTCTTTAATTGGAATAAAAATTTTCCCTTCAAAAACGCTTTTTTAAAAACTCGAATATTGATTGAATAAAAATACATACCAACAAAAAAATTTTCCGCTTTGTCTCCAAACTTTAAAAGATTTAATTTGCCTTTTACAATAGTACGAAACGTATTGCTTGTGAACAATACCAAATTTGCCTAATTGGCAATATTCAATCCCCAATAACTTCGCAAAAAACAATCTCAGGTCGCAGGTTAAAGACCTGTTCATTTTTGAGCTAATGAGGTCAGTAGATTTAGATGATCTAAAAAAACGTCAGAAATAGCTAGTTAGCAATTCGAAGATTTTTAGCCCGAATGCGAAATATTGGTTTAGTAAATACAAAGATTATGCCTAAAGTTATTTTTTCGTAAAAGATACAAAAAAAAGTGTTTCAGTCAGCTCCTTGCTCAAAGTTTAATCTGAAGTCACCACAAACTATTTTAAAAACTTTTCAACCAAAAACGTTTTGGTACAAATCTGAAGAAGTGTCAGGACACAAACTCCTTTAGCAAAATTTGACTAAGCTGTAATGTTAATTTTGCCGGCACATTAGTTTTGCACGAGTTCCACACAAAGCAAATAAAGATAGCTGTTCCGGATTCCGGATTTGTGACCCGCAATTGTAAGCGAATTCCGCAAAAGTGAACAGATTTGCAAAATTGTAATGATCTTAGTGGTTTTCGCAAACTGTAAGCAGTTTACGGTTAAGTTAGTGGATTCCGCTAGAAATTAAAATATAATGTATTAGATAATTTTTCATTTGTGCGTTCCGCAAACTGTTTCAGATTCAGCTATTTTTGTGGTGGACTCCGCGATTTTGGCTGTATTTGAAGCAATTTTAGGCATCATTGTATTTAGGCTAATTCTTCGTGGATTATTATTGTGGAACCCCAACAACGAAAAAAAAAACAATGTTGCAGATTTTGCAAAAAAAGATGGTTTCAGCCTGTTGCTCAATCCGCTTACAATTCAAAAACCCTCATTTTTTAAAACAAATTCAAAAATGGCTTTTTTATTTTAAAAAACGATGTCCCACAAAGACAAAAATCTTTTTGAAGAAAAAAATTGTATGCTCGGCTTAGTGGCGTGGTAAAAATTTTTGTTAATCCGCCAGAAAGGATATTCATATTCAGCGCAACGAGAAAATCGGATCAATCGTACTATATCCCATATAAAAAATGACAATACAAATTAACACTTTTTAGAACAAAGGTTACTTTGCAGTAGATTGCTGAAACCATTCTAATGTATTAGGTGAAGTGGCGCAGCGTTTAACATAACCGTCTATTGAAACTTAGTTTGGGGGATCGAGCTCCCTGAGGAGACTTTATATAGCTAGAAACAGTCTAGATTAAGCTAATTTCTGATCAGAATAAGATGAGAAAAGAAAAATTTAAGACATTTCCGGCTTTATTTTAACATTTTCTGAAAATTAAAAAATCTATTTAGAAAAATTTTCTAGCCAGATACTCAGATTAGAAGCTAATTCTTTATCGTCAATTTAAAAAAATTGTTTGAACGGGTAAGGACAAAAAATATGATCTAATACTGTTTTTTACAGCAAAATTTCATATTTTCTCGAAATTTCTTTGGTTACTCGAAATTAAACTCTATCTAAAATTACACATGTCAAATTGTAGTCTCTAGGAATTATCGTTTTTTTTAATGGTCGATCAAATTGATCAAATTGAATTTCTTACCTCCGTGATCAAATTATTTAAAATAAATGATTTTAAAAAATGATCCATAAAAAAATGAAATGCATAAATTATACTGTTGAAAATGAGAAATTTTGATTTGCATTTAAAAAAGCTCGATCGAAAATATTATTGTAATCGGTAGACAAAATTCAGACAGAATTGCAGCTGCAATACGTCCAATTTTTTTTATAATTTCATTTTTGTTTTGACGTCTGACTTGCTTGTCAACTAATTTCCTAAAAACCCACAAAATCATGTAGGTGTTGAGAGTTTATCTAAGCCTCGGTTGATTTTTCCCGAAAGAAATACCAAACTTATAAAGCTCAGAGTTGAAAATAGCGCTGGCTTTCAATTTTGGTAATTAATTTTGTTAGATGAAGCAAACAGTTTTAGATGTGCTAAGTTCTCGCAAATTGCATAATTTTCTAGGGGATTAGAAAAATTTACGGCAACTAATTTAGGCCCAAAAAAAACGAGATTGAATTCGATGAAGAACTACAATTATGGGTCATATGTTGTTGAGTTGCTATCGTCTATTGAACCCTTGTTATAACGGTTGATAACACTCCAAAAAAAATGTCAAAAAAACTTAATCTTTTGAAAAGTAGCGAACAAAAATTCTATGGATACAGTTTCGAGCTTGTTTCTTTTTCGGTGGTTGGCTCATTATCATCTGCGCTATCAGTGCTGCTATTAGTTTTTGTCACGAGAACTAAGCTAAGTTGGAAGTGTCGGTCGAAAGGTTGGTTGACAATTCGTTATAGACTACAATTTGTAACAAACGGCAATTCTTTACAGGCGACAACTCGTAACAAGCGACAATTCGTAATAAACCATTAGCATGTAGCAAACGCGTGCTCCGCTTCGCTCCGTTTACATTCGGCACAAGAAGAATAGTGGGTGTAAGTTAGTGTGTTTGACGCTCAACCTATTGTCACCAATTGTTGCCCACTTCGAATTTTCGCATGCTACGAACTATTGCCTCACAGGTAAAAATGTCAAAACTAGATTTTAGCGCGTTTTATCTCGGTTTTAACTGTAAATTATGAATTTCACCGGCATGTTTTTGTGAAACAAAAAAAATGTACTTTGTTTTTTGAGCAATCAATTTGATGCCATTAAGTGCAGAGCTATGGAAATGTTTGCATACCTCCAAAAACTGCTCATAAATGTTGGATTGCGTTTGATGGCAACATATTTGGCAACGCAAATACAGTTATTTGACTGTCCATCATGTTTTCGTTCCTCCACCTATAAAAAAAACGAAAATATTCTTATAGACTGATTTACTGAATTCCTTTTTCTTCTCAGAGTGGCTCCCCTATTCAAAAGAACGAAACTGTTCACAACTGTTAAGCTAGTGTTTCAAAATTACAATTCAAAGGTTGAGGGTTGTGGAAAAAAGCTCTCAGAGCCAATAAACTGTTTTCAGACTCAATTTCTCCTGAATCTTCAAATTTTGGTGCAATCTTAGATTGAGCTTATTGCCCTCATTAATGAAAGCTATATATTCCAACATTGTGGAACTCAATAGAAAAAAAATCGCGCGTGTTTTTTGACGTGTCTTTTTTGAAAATGAACTTTTGCTGCAGCAAGAAACTGTTCCGCGAGGAGATCTCCACACTTAGAATGGACATGGAAGACATAAAGAGTCAGAACAAGAGAATGACGTCAGCATTCGAGAGTAGTTCGAACCAGATGAGGGACATGCAAAGAAAACTGCACCAAGTGGACAAAGTGAGAAGAACCAGTTGACTCCCGGGCAATTTGAAATCACCACTCAAACCCACCACTATAATCAATAGAGAGGGGGGGGCTAACCTTTCAAAGATTCGACCCTCTGCGACCCTTTGTACCACCCTTTATCAAAGATTCGACCCTTTGTACTGTTTTTGGATGACTGACCCTTTTGGCGCCAAAATATACTAATTTTGAGGCGGACTTCTTGGTCAACATTTTTTAACGAATGCCTGAAAACGCCTTTTTGGCCAGTTTTTTTTTCAAAAATTTGTTAAGAACAAGGACTTTCTTGAGATTTGATAGGAAAATCACTATGAACAGCCTAAAAAATATATATATATTTTTTGAAAATCCACCCACCACCCTCGAGAAAATCTTGGATCCGCCCCTGCCCATAATGATAAAGGCAATAGAAATATGATTATTCTGCCAATATTGTGACATTTTCTGGCATCATATTGGGGCTGATATTCGATACTAGTCACCTCAGGGGGAGGAGGGCTTGGAGCGAAGCGTAGATGGGGGGCTTGGGTGAAAATTTTACACACGGTTTTTGTTTTTGATTGGGTGTTACATGGGATTTGTGAATCACATCCCGCCTCATGCTGCAAAGGTACAATTCAATCGATGCAAGTTTATGTTTACAACCCCCATACAAAACAAATACTACTGTGTTAAAATCGAATACCATTTTTTTGTGTTAAATTGCAGGCAAATTCCAGGTACTATAATACCAGTAATGACCAGGCTGCTCGTATATCAGGGCGAAACCTTAAGTGTTCCGACTGCATCTTAAAGTCAATTAAAATGTTTTTTTTTTTCGATTGAAAATTGACAAATAAATTGCAAAAAAGTTTTTTTTCTTTTTTTTTCAATTTTCTCCCACACACGCTAATGTGAACTACAAAGGTATGTATTTAAGGCTTGTCCTGACGGAATATTTAGGCTCGGAATTTTTGACGGAATAATAGGCTCGGTGAGCTTCTTTTTCTCCAGACAAGTTTTGTCTTTCGAACTAACAATTTTTGAAGGATTTTTCTATAATCCGATAGGTAAGGCTGTATTGAGCTCAAATTTGAAAAGATGCTTCAGAAGATCATTTTCGTAGAGTTGTGGGGGTAGAAATTTGCCATTTTTGACAAATTTGGACATTGAACACGCGATATAGTTCGTGCTAATAACCATTAAGCCCGAGTTTTGAAATCGTTCCAAATTGAATTGAGTCTCTTTTTAGTCTGATCAGTACTTTGCCATATGCTAAATCATTTACTTTGTGTTAAGCAGCGTGTGAAGAGATAATTTTTATAAAGCATCTATGCAAACTTTTGATTTTTTCCCTTTTTGTTCCGACTTTCGATACGAAAGTAACGGAATATTTGAGCTCGGGGTGGGTTTTTTTTCTTCAGACAAATTTCGACTTTTTAACTAGCCATTTTTGACGGAATTTTTTTATATCATTCGAAAGGTATTGTTGACTTGAGCTCAAATTTTAAAAGATATTTCACCTGTGATCTTTTTTCGTAAAGTTACGGGGGTTTAAAGATTGCCATTTTGGCCAATTCGGGACAATTAACGCGCGGTATATTTCGCGTTATTAACGCGTAAGCGGAGAGTTAATCCATCTTAGAAATTGTCCCAAATTGGTTAAAAGAAGCCTATTTGCCATTATTGGTTTGTTAGAAGGAGCGAAATCTATCCTTTCGTACTTTATATAGCGTGTGGGGGATGATTTTTCTTTTAAAAAAAATCAAATTTAAGATTTTTTTTTTAATTTTTTTTTATTTCATTGATTTTTTTAATGTTATTACTGCTCCATAAACCTTAAAAGACAGTCGGAACATTCAGGGTTTCGCCTTGATACGAGCAGTCTTGTTTGAAATTTTCTTTCGTTTTTAAGAAATTAACACTACTCCAAGGATGTTAACATGCAGTCGGTACATTCAGAGCATCTTCTCGATACAATTAACTTTGGTCAAATTGGAGCGCCTTAATCCGTCGCTGGAAGAACGCAAAATGTCGCGCCTATAATATCTCAAATTGGCCAAATTTGTAATTTTCAGCCCCCCATAATTTTACAAAAAACAATGAGAAGGGTAAAAAGATCTCGATTTCTAAAATTGAGCCTCGCATAATACATTTTTTTGTGTAAAAATATTCCTTACAAATTTTTGCTGAAAATTCGAAAAATGGACTGAATAGAAAACACAGGCCCAAGCATAAATATTCCATATTCTTCGAAATTCTCCGAACAATATTTGATGCTACTGTCATTCGCAGAAAATATATGAAAGATTTGATAGCTTTTCATATATCTTCTGCGAATCGCAGAAACATCAATTATTGTTCCGACTTTCGAAGCATAGTTATTTTTTTTTATTTCCATACATTTCAGATTGAGTTATTTTGTTGATCAAAGCTCTATTTTTTTCTTTTTTTCTGATATCAATTATTGTTTTTCTGAACAATAATTGATGTTATTGCAGCCGAAATTTGTCTGTCTATAGTAAACTTGAAGCTAATGGTCAAGTAAGAGCTCGTCCTCACACACTATCATTACCATGGTATATGATCGAACACACGATCTGGCCATCTCATTTTTAACCTCTTACCAATATGCTAAGTGCTCCTTGTAAAAACCCTGAAACATACAAACAATTTGCGATCATTTGCGTTCAAACGAATACAATGCGGATACGAGAAGTTTGTTTTCTAGTGAAGTTTTTTTGACGTAACATTGAATACACGAATAATACACAAACTATCAGCAATTAAATATTCTTCGCCTCTGATACAAAAATTTTGTAAAATTTGATTGGCATTCAATTTTTCTCCTCTCTAAATGTGCATAAAAAGCACGTATCGAAAATTGCACTATCATTAACGCATATTAACGTGTCAAATGAGAATAAGAAGCCAACAAAGTCTACTTTTCCAACACTTAATAGCCCCCGTGGGTACTAATTTATGCCCTCAGCCGAAAAGTTGACAATATTAATGTCCGAGGGGCTCTTGAATACTATTTTACATTATGCAGTGTTAAGTTTGTTTGAGAGTGAGGCAATATTTCCAAGGCCAGAACAAAACTAACAAGGCTGCTCGTATCAGGGCGAAGCCCTGAATGTTCCGACTGCCTTTTAAGGTATATGAAGCAGTAATAGCATGAAAAAATTAAATGTAATTTTTTTTGTGAAAATCAACCCCCCACACGCCATCTAAAGTACAAAGTGATAAATTTTGCTTCAATTAACAAATCATTTATGGTAAATAAGCTTCCTTCAACCAATTTGGAACAATTTCTAAGACGGATTAACTCTCCGCTTACGCGTTAATAGCGCGAAATATATCGCGCGTTAATTGTCCAAAATTGGCCAAAGTTGCAAACTTTAAACCCCCGTAACTTTACGAAACATGATCACAGGTAAAAATATCTTTTCAAATTTGAGCTCAAGACAACAATAACTTTCGAATGATATGAAAAAATTCCGTCAAAAATGGCTAGTTAAAAAGTCGAAATTTCTCTGAAGAAAAAAAAACCCACCCCCATCACAAATATTCCGTTACATTCGTATCGAAAGTCGGAACAAAAAGGATATTTAGGTCACAATCAAAAGATTTGTTCTTCGTTTAGATTTGAACAGAGCTTATGTTCTACTTTTCCTTCGCAACCATTGATCTGAAATAATGATCTAACGCAAAAAGGATCAACCGTACAATCCTCCCTCTCCTCAAATTGGTTTAAGGGGGATAAAATACTGGTTTATCAGCAACTAACATTGAGGCTTAAATAACTTTATCTAATTAATTAAATAAATTATTCGAAACAAAATAATGAAAGATTGCTCAAATAAGCGAACACGAAACAGATTTATGAATCAGAGTATGATAATTGGGTCAAAAAAACTTACACGTTTTCAATAGTGAAAAAATTGTGACTTGAACTTGCGACCCTTTGACAATAATTCTGTAATAGTTTTTTCATGCGACTTGAGTTTTTTATAAAAAAGTGGGACCCATCTTTCATATTTTTCAAAGGACCTAACTATCATACTTGCACCCAGGGACGAATCTAGAATTTTTTCGAAGGGGAACGGAATTTCGAAAAAATCGAACATTTTGTCGACCTAATATTTAGGTCGACCAAATTGATTATCTGAGCTCTCCCCCTCACTATAAAGACCGTATTTTCACCAAATTTTCTGCACCATAGGCAAACTTTTGATAAAATCGGCCAAAAAGGCTTAAAAGCGTTTTTAAGAACTTTTTGATTAGGAACTTTTTGAAATTTTGATTATTTCGTCGCGTGTTCTCCTCCTAAAATTAGTATATATTGGCGTCAAAGGCGCCTTTAGAAAAAGTTTAGGTATAGTGAGCCAAAAACTGATATTTTATGATAGTGCTGAGGGAAATGTTGGGTCAATATGGCCAAATCCCTCAAGGGGGCGACCCCCGATACCCTCTTAACCCGCCACTGCTTGTACCCCGGTTTTAAGTATCTAGTCCAGGTGAAATTTATTTGACGCATTATATTCTAGGCACTAGTTTGGAATGAATAGTTTATGCGTAACCAATTTTCAAAACTGATGCGTGCCTGGAGAAATATGTACGGTAGGTCAACCGTACCCAGCGAAAGCTGCTTTTCTCGACAGAAATGTTACATAGATTACCCAGCCAAACTTTTTTTTTCATGTACAGAAATGATATATTTCTTTCTTAGTTTAGAAGAAAAAACAATTTTTGGAAAGACACAACGAGAAATCAGTTCACTGCTCAACCGCGACGAGATAAACGTACTTCGAGTGTACACAACAATTGTAGCAATTCAATGCAAATTGACACTTCTTATAACAAATGTTTCTTTGCATTATGTTGCTAAAACTATCGTACCGTATGATGTCATGTGGCCTAGTGGTTAGCACAGTGTATGGCGAGAGTTCTAATCTCAACCGGTGATTTGTTTCTAGCTAAGAATAACCTAGATTTAGCTAATTTCTGATCAGAAATAAGATGGAAATAAAAAAACTTTAAGAACATCCCTGCTTTATTTAAGCATTTCACAAAGAATTTTTGACCAGAAAAATAGATTAGGTATTAATTGTTCCAGGTCAGAAATAAAGAACTTTTTCGGTACGGGCACTTACTGGAAGATTGTACGATTGAATGGCTTTTCTCAATAAACGCCGTTAACCCATTAAAAACTGTAAGGTTCTATGTGAACAACACAAAAAGCCAATGATACAAAAATTGTTTTTTCGAAACAATATTATAATTACTTTAAGCTAAAACTGGTAAAATCATTAAACCGTTTTTGCCTGAAAGCAATTTGACAAAAACCTTGCAAATAAAAAAACTCATGAACCGTTACTGTGTTTATTAAAAATGAGCAGGCAAAGGCTACAATTTAACTCATTTTTTTTTGTTGAGTTGAAACGCAATTTAAACTCGCATAAAATTAATAAACTTAAAATTTATGCATATTTGAAGTTATTTTACAGATAACATTTTAACAGCCTCAAAAATATATTTTGTTGCCTTAACAGGTTGGGTATTCACCAAGTACCAACAAAATTAATCCCGTTTGTACCAAAATGAAAAACTGTTGCGAAACCACCAATCCCACTTACTTGGCTTAAGGTCGCCGGTATCTAACCGGCTCTAACTTCTTTTAGATTCCCATCCTCTGCTGGCATGCTTGCAACACGTTGTTGCGAATGCGGCGTTCTTTATTTTGAGGATTAGGCTGTTTAACTTTATGCTGTTTGAACAATGACCGATTACTTCAACCATTTATTGGCTCCAAATTTGGCCAATCAGAGTTCAAATTTAAAACTTTTGATACAACCGCGACCATTTGTATATTTTGGTGAAAATGAACGTTGGTACACATTGAAACTCACCCCGTAACAGATCTCTTTGGCAGCTTTAATTCATGAGACCCAGATTCAAACACTTAAAACTTGCTGGTTGGTTCTATTGCTGGTATGGATGATAATGCTGGTATTGCTGATATTGCTGGTTTTGCTGGTATTGCTGATTGGTTCTATCCTTGGAACAAACAATCGGAACCCCAAAGATAAACAACGTTTTTGGTTTTGAAACAATTTCCACAAGTAACCCAACCCAGACATGTTTTTTTTTTGTTTATTATCAAATAAAAGACACCAACAAATTGCCTAAAGAAGACAGATTATTTTAGCTATCATTGTTTCTCTCATATTGGGACAAAAGCAAAAGTTTTGCCAACTTTTTGAAATTTGTAATAATGGAATAAAAACAGTAGTTGGACCATTAAGGAATATCTATGCTTGGGGTGTTTTTTGTATTTAGCTCAACTCTAAAATTAGTTCTGTTGGGGCTCGATCAATGGATCTTTTTGGTCTCAGATGGGGTGCACTCAACACTAAATTATCCTGGTTTAAATAATACTGAGAAATGATCACTAACAGACTAAAATGTTTAAATAACGCTTTGATACTTTGATGCTTAAAATTTAACGTTAATTATCCCGCACCACAAAAATCGTTTCGAATTAAATTGAGGCAATAATTGGTCTGATTAATTCCATGCACGACCCTTAATAATCAGCTTAAAACATATAAATATAACGAAATTATCCAAGACCAGTTTATGGACAGTCGAAACATTAAAGACATTGCCTCGATACGAGCAGTTTTGTTCAAATATTGTGCGTTTTGCCAAATATTTGGTTTGCCAAGATTAAAATTCAATTCCCCAAAAAAAATCAAGTTTTTTTTGACATCCAATGAAAAATTAGGCCAACCATTATTAAATTTTTGAATGAATGAACACCTAATTAAAACAATTAGCGCATGCTAGTAGGCACAGATACTTATTGCTAAACCACTGCTCTAGGTATTTTTTATTCAAACCAATTTTGGTAATCAAACTAATAATCCAGCTGAAATTGTTCGAATTTAATTGATGAAAAATCTTTTATTTTTGATGATTTTTGGTGAAGTTATAGAGTTTTACATTTTGTCGTTTTGGCTTAAATGTTAGACTTTTTATGTGTGCTTTAGATTTCAACAATGATCCTACAATCTTTTAGTTCGTTCTTTATTTTTACCGTAGGTAATTTTTAAGTCTTGGAGCTTTATAAGTTTTAAGTTTATAATTTAAAACAGCCAAGAAAATTTTTAGGACATTCAAAAGAGTCAAAGTCATGATTCAAAATTTTTTTTCTTGAAGATTGGGCTGTTTTTTTTTTGGTTTTGCTGCCTACGCGCGGAAAACAATTGCAGATACAGCGCACGTTGTGTTGAGAAAAACTTCATCAAAAACAATCTCTTCGACTATTGGCTCTTTTATACTCCCAGATCATCCTCCCAGGCTCTTTTAGACTCCAAGGTCGTGCAAGATTCCTGAAGTTAGGTTTATCTCGCAAGACCTTGCACGATCGAGGTTAACTTGCAAGATCTTGTTAGAGTAAGGATATCTTGCAACAACCTTGCACGATTCTTGCAAAATCTTGGAAGATAACCTAGTATGGAAATTGAGCACACAAATTTAAATTCCGATGAAAAATTTTGGCTGATTTAATTTTAAAATGTCCATATATATGCTGCCTTTTCAATTGTCGTGCTTTAAAAAATTTTAGGTTTTTATTTTAATTTGTGCATTTTTAAATTTTATTGGAACAATTCGTCTCGTTTTGCGATTCTACTGGTTAAAATTTAATTTTTAGTTAACTATTTTGAATCTTTTATCAATATAGTTAGTTACTTTGTATGTTGCGTTTACGTAATTCGTTCATATGTTGTAATTATCTTCATTTTATTATGTAGTTATCAAAACTTTTTTGTTGACTTCTTTTATTATTTAAACTTTACCACTTGTTACTGGTATTGTTTCTTTATAGCACTGGGTTGTCGTTGCATGTGTGTTTTTCCCCAAAAAAACCTTATCTTCAAGGATATTTTTTTAAAATTGTTATTTTAAAAGTAGGTTATCTTGCAAGATCTTGCAAAAATCTTGCAATATCGTTTCAAGCGATGCATCCTCTTTTAAAGAATCTTGCTAAATTCTAACAAGATCCTGCAAGATAACCTCCCTTGATCATCAACTAGGGACGAGGAAGAGCATTAAGAACTGCTTTGTTCAAAACAGTTTATATGTTAATCACGCCAAATTGCCTTGCATTATGACAACTTTAAATAAGTTTTCAAAATAAAAATTAAAATTTGAGGGAAAAATGAAAAAGAGTCCGATTTTCGAATTGTCCGCGAAAAAAAAACAGCTCGCGAAATTAGTCCAAACCGTTGTCGATAGCCAATGGTTATCTTGCAAGAGTCTTGACGAAATATACATACATCTTGCCAAGAATCTTGCAAGAATCTTGCAAGATCTTACAAGATAACCATTAGCTATCGACTAGGGTACTGTCTTCCAAATCAACGCTTAAAGCTTTAGAGCAATCTTTTATTATTGTTGAACGACTTGAAAACTGATTTATGCATTAATTTTGCTGGTGTTTTAAACGATAGAGAAGGATTTCAGTTTCACTGCCTTTCTTTGTTTTTTTTAGAAATGCGAAGATGTGACCCAAAAGAACAGCCGATTAATGCGCGAGTCTTTGGCTGGGGGTGGCGATGAAGGCGGCGGGAACAAGTTCAGTACTTCAGTACCGCGGGGACAGGACCCAAACGTGTCTGGAGCATCGAACTTTGAAATAAACGAGCTTAAACAAGCATTGTCTAACTTGGACAATAGAATACTGCACATGGAATCGACTAGTAAGACTGAAGCATGCAATTTTTTTTGGATATTTTCTAATTTTTACTTTTCTCGCTTCCTGGCGTGGTAATGATACAAGAGCAGCAGTAAAGCCCCTTATTAGATCAAATTTGCCTAAGAGTTTGCCATAATGTCAACATGGACAGCCTTAAGCCCAAAAGTAATTACAAACTCAATTAGGAACTTAATCAACCGTAAGGCGTGAAATCAATTCACATCTCATCTGCCGATGACCTGAAGCTGTTGAGCAAAATCTAACACTATTAGCGCAAATGAACTCCAACGAGGATCTAAACTAAGACTAATTAGCAGTCCAGGCTAAAAATGGAAAATTATAGTCCGCATTTCTTTGAAAGTCACAACAACAAAGCTAATTATATGTAGACTATTTTAGTCGATCGAAACAATGCCCTAAACCGAAAAGTGGTAGTAATGAGAATTGTGCTATTTTTTCACGCAAAATTATCTGCCCCAAAATTTGCCATTGACGTCAATTGGTAGATCAAACTCTTTACTGTAGAAACGTTGTATAAGTGTTCTTGATATTGAGAAAAATAATCTGCAGTTACGTTTACATAATTAATGTTTTCAATGGAAACACTTGACTACCCTTGGTTCGGTTTTATTAATCAAGGAAAAACTTTTAGTATCTTAGCCTAAATATGGATGTCGTACAAAGACGTCAACTGGTAGCAAGGTTGACAATTTAACTAATGTGATGCACAGCAGCAGTTTTAAGGGACTAGCGACTTTTCCTTTCTGTCGGCGGCTCGAAACTCTCGCCATCTAGAAGTATTCAGTTCTCATTCTGTTACTTTTTTACAGCATTCAATTTTAGCCTGACAAATTACAACTTGGATGCGAGCATGTACTAATTTTGAAGGAGGAGCTTAGACCGAAAAAAAATTCGATTGTTTTTAAAAATTTGCCTGCGGAGCAAAAATTGTTGCCAAAAATAGCTTTTCAGAAAAGCTCATGTACTTACTTTGAAAAACTAAAATTATACTTGACGAATCCGCGCTTTAAAATGTACTTAATTTAAAGTGCAGAGCTCACTTTGAAAGGTACTTTACGACCTAAGTTTTCTTAAATGCTTCCACATCAAATACTGAAAATAATAAGTCAGACGAACTACACGAAGTCCATTGCCAATTTTATTAACGTTCAATCTCTTGTCAAATTGATGTTTGAATGGGTTTTCCGACAAATCTTTCAAAAATGAAGATTACCTGTCAAACTTCTGCGGTTAAAAAAAGGTTTGAATGGCATTTCCGACTAATCCAAGAGCAAACAAAATTTAAAAGCTTTTAAGCTCTATATTTTAGTTTCAAAGCTCGCGTGTTGATAGTGAATTATTGTTGTTCCGACTTTCGATACGAAAGTAACGGAATATTTGTGCTCGGGCTGGTTGTTTTTTCTTCAGACAAATTTCGACTTTTTAACTAGCCATTTTTGACAACAATGTTTATATCATTCGAAAGGTATTGATCTCATGAGCTCCAATTTGAAAAGATATTTCACCTGTGATCATTTTTTGTAAAGTTACGCGCGTTAAAAAATTGCTTATTTGGCCAATATGGGATAAGTAAATTGCGATATATTGCGTGTTTATAGCACGCGGAAGAAGCAAATTAATGCGTTTCAACTTGAATTGAAAACAGCAACTTAACCTTTTTTTTATCACAATACGAGACGCTAAACACCCCCTCAGTGTTTTACATAGCGTGCAGGGGATAAAGTGAAGAAAAAAATTAAACTTTTTTCTCAATTATTTTTTTTTCAATTATTCAGTCAGAAAAAAAAACTTTTTAATAAGCCTTACGTGCAGTCGGAGCATTCAGGGCTTCTTCTTGATATACGAGCTTTTTTGGATTTCTTAAAGCCATCTAAAAGACATTGTTGTCTTCAGCTCAATTTTCAAAAGATCTTTCTCCTGCGATTATTTTTTGTATAGTTACGGAGGTTAGAAAATAGCTAATTTGGTCAACTTGGGATAATTGAAATACAAATTTTTTGCGTACTTATAAAACGCGGGTTAAAATAGAGAAAATGAAGAAAAAATGAAAAAACAATTTTTTATTTTGTCATTTATTCAACCAAAAAAAACTTTTTAATTGGCCTTAAGTGCAGTCGGAACATTCAGGGTTTCGCCCTGATAAACTAGTAGCAGTCTTGTTTAGATTTATCTTTTCCTGACCAGGCATGCAAAATTGTTCCATATCATTTTAGAGTCATATCATCAAACGAGTGGACATTTCCGAGACATCCCAGAGGAAGGTCGTCTGATGGCAGGAAAAGAACACGGGTTCACAATGGGCTCAAATAGCACGCGAGAGACGAGAATAAGGGATGATGAAAGCGATTCTGGGGACCGGGGGAAGTTTTCGGTCACTGATGAAAGTAGCGAGACAGGGGAAGAAAGGGGCGGCAGGGTGTCTACGTTTGACAATAGGTACCCGTGCCATCAAGCCTAAAGCTCTTCCCGCATTACCCAGCTAAACCTCCTTTTAATCCCAAAAAAAAGAAAAAATATTGTGTCAAAAGAAACATTCACGGGTTGACATTCAAAAAAATGCTATTCATATAATTTCATGAAAAGTGATGGCTAGCATTTTTTCAAAAATAGCAACTATGCCGAAACATTCGCGGGTCGAGTTCTATACAAAAAACCTAGTCTTCTACTTTCAGAAATGGGTTCTTTGAAAAAATGCTTATCGTGCATTTTCACACAAAAGAACTAAAAATCAAAACTTTTTTGCTTGATGCCGAAATATTTTTCAAAATAGTAAGATAAACTTAAAGTCTGTAAAAAACAGGCCGCGACTTCGTAACACTTAAGCTGTTGAATCAAATTGTTTTTCGACAGTACACGAATAGTTACAATTTTTTGATAAAAAAATTATGTGGAGAATTTGAAACAAAAGTTTACACGACGTTTCTCTCAATACTCAATGCATTTCTCAAACGAGAAAACCTTGATTATTCTGTTTCAGGACTCCACACAAAATCATGAAGCGAAACACAAAAATAATTATTCTTTATACATAAAAAGAGATTATACGTCAAGAAAATGCAAAAATGTTGATTTTTAATAGTTGTCGCTCTAAAATTTGAAAACAATCAACTACAATTCAACAAAAATTTATAATAATGATAATGTTACTATTATTAGTTATTCATTCGTAATTGATTAGAATGGTTTGATTTTCAGTTTATTTTCTTTATTTTTTTGAAACAAGTATACTCCATTGTAATCAGTATTAATTCATTTTAACGAGTATAATTCATTTTTTAATCTAATTTTGTGGATTATTTCCTCATTGTTTTAAATTTCTGATCAATTAAGTTTTTCAATCTTTTTATTGAGTTAAGGTTAATTACTTTTTTGTTTCTTCAAGTTTCACTTCTTTATATCAATCGCGTTTTTATGACAAGTTTTGTTTTTTTATTTGCTATTTAATGGCTTCAGTTTTACTCGCCAGTCTTTCAATTTTTCAATTTACCCCAGCCTCCCACTCCACCCCCAAGTTTACCCACTGCCACAAATTTAAGTTTCCCCCTCCCCCACGCTTACCCTCTTCCTCTATTCATTATGATTGGGTTGGTCGGTAAACGCGGGAACAGGTACAATATACTGGGGAAAATTAGGTTTGTGGGATGAGCAGGCGCGGATCTAGGAATTTCTCAGGGGGGGGGGCGTATTTTTAAACAAAAAATTGAAAACACTGTCAACCTTTTTTTAAGTCGACCAAATTAATTTCCTGAGATCTCCCAAACCAATATAAAGACCCTAATTTGACCAATTTTTCTGCGCCGGAATCAAATTTTTGAAAAAGGCCAAAAAAGCGTTTTTAGGCACTTATCGGAAAATGTCGACTAAAAATCGCGTTTTTTTGGCGCGCGCTCCCCCTCAAAATTAGTATAGATTGGCCCCAAAGGCGCCAGTAGAAAAATTTTGAGGTCAGTCAACCAAACATGGATATCCCAAAATAGAACAAAAGGGGGACCCTTTGGGTCGGCAGGGGTCGAATCCCTGAGGGAAAAGGCATTAGCCCCCCCCCCCCCCCGATTCCCACTAAATCCGCTACTGGGGATGGGCAAGTGGTAGTTCTGATGTGGACGTGTCATGGATTTTTTGCGGAAAATACTCGCTTATATTGAAAACTAAACCGTATTATGGTCGATCCTTGTACCCGCATTGAAGAAAAGTGAGAACAAAAATCAATTTTAATGAGTTTTTGTGATCTAAAATATTGACAATTTAATCTATTTCCATATTACGCTCAGAAAACTAAATTGGACCAAAACTGCATTTAAATCCAATTTTCTCGCAAAACAAGAAGTATTATAATTCATTTGAAATCCATTATAATGGATAATATAATAAGTAGAAAATCACAAAAGGCTAATCGTGCGTTTTCACAATTAAAAGAACTAAAATCAATTTTTTTTGCTTGATGCCGAATTCTATTTTCAAAATAGTTCGATAAACTTAAAGTCTCTAAACAAAACAGCCCGCAACTTACCAACACTTAAGCTGTTGAACCAAACTGTTTTTCGGCAGTACAGGAATAAACACATTTTTTTGATAAAACTATGTGGAGAATTCGAAACAATATTTTACACGACGATTCTCTCAATGCATTTCTCAAACCAGAAAACCTTGATTATTCTGTTTCAGGACTCCACGCAAAATCATGAAGCAAAACGCAAAAATAATTATGCTTTATACATAAAAGGAGATTAAACGTCAAGAAAAAGCAAAAATGTTGATTTTTAATAGTTGTCGCTGTAAAATTTGAAAACAAATCAACTACAATTGAATAAAAATTTATAATAATGTTAATGTAACTAGTATTAGTTGTTCATTCGTAATTGACTGAAATGGTTTGATTTTCAGTTTATTTTCTTTATTTTTTTGAAACAAGTATACTCCATTTTACTCAGTATTAATTCATTTTAACAAGTATAATTTATTTTTTAATCTAATTTTGTGGATTATTTCCTCATTGTCTTAAATTTTTGATCAATTAAGTTTTTCAATCTCTTTATTGAGTTAAGGTTAATTATTTTGTTGTTTCTTCAAGTTTCACCTCTAAATATCAATCGCGTTTTTATGACAAGTTTTGTTTTTTTATTTGCTATTTAATGGCTTCAGTTTTACTCGCCAGTCCTTCAAGGTACCCCAGCCTCCCACTCCACCCCCAAGTTTACCCACTGAAACAAATTTAAGTTTCCCCCTCCCCTAAGTTTCTCCTCTTCCTCTATTCATAATGATGGGGGTGGTTGGTAAACGCGAGAACAGGTACAATATACTGGGGAAAATTAGGTTTGTGGGATGGGCAGGCGCGGATTTAGGAATTTCTCAGTGGGGGGCGTATTTTAAAAAAAAAATGAAAATTCTGTCAACTTTTTTTTAAATCGATCAAATTGATTTTCTGAGATATCCCAAACCAAATACAGACCCTGATTTGACCAATTTTTCTGCGCCGGAATCAAATTTTTGAAAAGGCCAAAAAAGCGTTTTACGGCACTTATCGGAAAATGTCGACTAAAAATCGCGTTTTTTGGCGCGCGCTCCCCCTCAAAATTAGTGTAGATTGGCGCCAAAAGCGCCAGTAGAAAAATTTTGAGGTCAGTCAGCCAAACATGGATATCCCAAAATAGAACAAAAGGGGGACCCTTTGGGTCGGCAGGGGTCGAATCCCTGAGGGAAAAGGCATTAGCCCCCCCTTTCCCCCCAAATCTGCTACTGGGGACGGGCAAGTGGTAGTTCTGATGTGGAGGTGTCATAGATTTTTTGCGGAAAATACTCGCTTATATTGAAAACTAAACCGTATTATGGTCGATCCTTGTACCCGCATTGAAGAAAAGTGAAAACAAAAATCAATTTTAATGAGTTTTTGTGATCTAAAATATTGACAATTTAATCTATTCCCACATTACGCTCAGAAAACTAAATTAGACCAAAGTTGGATTTAAATCCAATTTTCTCGCAAAACAAAAAGCATTATAATTCATTTGAAATCCATTATAATGGATAATATTTTAAGTAGAAAATCACAATAAAATTTTTTTTTCTCTACTTTATTTTTGTTTCGCCTCGTGCAAAATTTTGCAAAAGTTTCTCCATATATCAAATGAGTTTTGCGGAAATTTTGCTAGTGCACAACCTACTCAATTTCTAAAACTAAACTCAAATTGCAAAAGGATTCCATTAACCTCTCCCCCCTTAACGTTTGCCCCTTTGCGCCCTTACAACTCTCCATCCTAAAGTTTGCCCCCTGGCCCCCTTACAACCCCCCCAAACGCCCGCATCTGGGGGATTGGTTCAATTGGGGTTCATGTGAGGGAGAAGATTGGTTCAATTGGGCTGCAATTGGGTTTCATATGAGAGAGGGGGTTGGTTCAGGTGGGGGATGGCGTGAGTAAGGGTACTAAGGGGGCAAACGCTAAGGGATGTATTGGAAGATGGGACTAGTCCATCTCATGTTTTGCCCTCCCCCCAAGTTTCTGATAAATTGAGAAAATTGTTGAAAAGAACGAAATTTAGTCATTAATCAACATAAGAAACTAACAAAAATCAAAGTTGCACAGAAAAAAATTGAACAACAAGAAACCGATTTCAGGTTAAAACGTAAAAAAAAAAAACTTTATGTGCGTAAAATTTTTTATCTCAAAAAAATGAAAAAAAATCTATTATAATTGAGTAATATTGCCAGTTTAACCACTATTAATTCATTTTAACGAGTATAATTCATTTTTTAATCTAATTTTGTGGATTATTTCCTCATTGTCTTAAATTTCTGATCACTTAAGCTTTTCAATCTTTTTATTGAGTTAAGGTTAATTATTTTGTTGTTTCTTCAAGTTTCACCTCTTAATATCAATCGCGTTTTTATGACAAGTTTTGTTTTTTATTTGCTATTTAATGGCTTCAGTTTTACTCGCCAGTCCTTCAATGTACCCCAGCCTCCCACTCCAACCCCAACTTTATCCACTGCCACAAATTTAAGCTTCCCCCTCCCCCACGCTTACCCTCTTCCTCTATCCATTATGATGGGGGTGGTTGGTAAATGAGGGAAGAGGTACAATATACTGGGCAAAATCAGGTTTGTGGGATGGGCAGGCGCGGATCTAGGATTTTCTCAGGGGGGGGGCGTAATTTTTTTTTAAAAATTGAAAATTCTGTCAACCTCTTTTTTAAGTCGACCAAATTGAATTTCTGAGATATCCCAAACCAATATAAAAACCCTAATTTGACCAATTTTTCTGCGCCGGAATCAAATTTTTGAAAAGGGCCAAAAAAGCGTTTTTAGGCACTTATCGGAAAATGTCGACTAAAAATCGCGTTTTTTTGGCGCGCGCTCCCCCTCAAAATTAGTATAGATTGGCCCCAAAGGCGCCAGTAGAAAAATTTTGAGGTCAGTCAACCAAACATGGATATCCCAA